CCTGCCTTGGCCTCCCAAAGTGTTGGGATTACAGGCATGAGCCACTGCACCTGGTTTTAACAGTATTTTAACTTGTTTTCTTTGTGTGTATCATTAATTTAACCCCAGAGGATTCCTAGTGAGCCCTCTTCGCTCAACCCTGCAGACCATGAGGAAGCCTGTGGTTTGGGGATGGGTCATATGTCCCTGAGCAGGGCAGCTTCCTTCTCTGGGAGAGAAGGCTTGGTTGGTGACAGGGAGGTGACTGAAAGTAACATTGCTAATGGAGCTCTTTCTACATAAAAGGTGCTGAGCTAGGGTGACAGGAATAGATATGACATTATTCCATATGCCGGGACTTAAAATCGAGTGACAGACATTGAGGTCATCTTTCTAATATGAGACAAAATTTGATAAGAACTATAGGAGAGACTGCAAATGTAAGAGAATAGTAAATTAGGAACAGTAATTCTAATTAGAAGACGTGATTACTGTAGCTTTGTAGCAAATTTTGGAATGGAGAAATGTTAGTCTTCCAACTTTGTTCTTTTTTTTTTTTTTTTCCCCCTCAAGATTGTTTTGGCTATTCTGGGTCCCTTGCATTTCTGTATGAATTTTAGGATCAACTTGTCAATTTCTGCAAAAAGGGAAGCTGGAATTTTGTCAGAGATTGTATTGAATCTGTACATCTATTTGGGGTTGTACTGGCATCTTAACGATACAAGTCCTCCAACCGATGAACAGGGGATAATTTTCCATTTATTTAGATATTTAACTTTTTTGACTATGTTTTGTAGTGTTCAGTGTATAGGTCTTGTCTGTCTTCCTTCCTTTCTTCATTTCTTCCTTCCTTCCTTCCTTTGTTTCTTTCTTTTTCTTTCCTTTTTTTTTTTCTTCGGTTGGGGGGAGACTGAGTCTCTCTCTGTTGCCCAGGCTGGAGTGCAGTGGCATGATCTTGGCTCACTGCAAACTCCACATCCTGAATTCAAGCAATTCTCCTGCCTCAGCCTCCCAAGTAGCTGGGATTACAGGCGTCAGCCGCCAAACCTGGCTAATTTTTGTATTTTTAGTAGAGATGGGTTTTCACTATGTTGGTCAGGCTGGTCTTGAACTCCTGATCTCAAGTGATCCACTCACCTTGGCCTACAAAAGTGCTGGGATTATAGGCGTGAGCCACCGTGCCTGGCCAGGTCTTGTATTTATTTTGTTAAATTTATTCCTAAGTATTTTATTCTTTTTAATTCTATTGTAAATGAGATTTGTAAAAGTCACATTTTTGGATTGTCTATTTCTAGTATAAGAAATACAGCTAGCCAGGTGCCGTGGCACATGCCTATAATCCCAGCACGTTGGGAGGCCAAGGCAGGTGGATAATGAGGTCAGAAGTTCAAGACCAGCCTGGTCAACATGGTGAAACCCGGTCTCTAAAAAAAAAAAAAAAAAACGGCCTGGCGCGGTGGCTCAAGCCTGTAATCCCAGCACTTTGAGAGGCCGAGGCGGGTGGCTCACTAGGTCAAGAGATCAAGACCACCCTGGCCAACATGGTAAAACCCCGTCTCTACTAAAAATACAAAAAATTAGCTGGGCATGGTGGCGCGTGCCTGTAATCCCAGCTACTCAGGAGGCTGAGGCAGGAGAATTGCCTGAACCCAGGAGGAGGAGGTTGCGGTGAGCCGAGATCATGCCATTGCACTCCAGCCTGGGTAACAAGAGCGAAACTCCGTCTCAAAAAAAAAGAAAAAAAAAAAAACATGCCCAGCTAATTTTTTTGTATTTTTAATAGAGACGGGGTTTCACCATGTTGGCCAGGGTGGTCTCGATCTCTTGACCACGTGATCCACTGACCTCGACCTCCCAAAGTGCTGGGATTACAGGCTTGAGCCACCGCGCCCGGCCTGATTTTTGTTTATTAATTGTGTATCCTGCAACCTTGCTTAGCTCATTTATTATTTTTAATGGTTGTGTTGTATGTGTGTGTGTATGTATTCTTTAGGGTTTTTTACATACAAGATCAGGCCATCTGCAAATAGAGATAGAGATAGTTTCACCTCCTCCTTTCCAATGTGGATGTATTTCCTGTTTCTTGCCTAATTGTCCTGGCTGGAACCTCCCACACTGTGATGAAATAGAAGTGATGAGAGCAGACCACCATGTCATATTTCTGATTTTAGGGGAAACATTCAAGTCTTTCACCATTAAGTATGACAGTACCTATGGGTTTTTGTTAATTTTTTTTTTTTTTTTTTTTGAGACGGAGTTTCACTCTTGTTACCCAGGCTGGAGTGCAATGGTGCGATCTCGGCTCACCGCAACCTCCGCCTCCTGGGTTCAGGCAATTCTCCTGCCTCAGTCTCCTGAGTAGCTGGGATTACAGGCACACGCCACCATGCCCAGCTAATTTTTTGTATTTTTCGTAGAGACGGGGTTTCACAATGTTGACCAGGATGGTCTCGATCTCTTGACCTTGTGATCCACCCGCCTCAGCCTCCCAAAGTGCTGGGATTACAGGCTTAAGCCACCGTGCCTGTTTTTTTTTTTTTTTTTTTTGAGACAGAGTCTCCATCGGTCACCCAGGCTAGAGAGCAGTGGTGAAATCTTGGCTTACTGCAAGATTACTCACTGCTTTAAAGATGGGGTTTCTCCTTATTGGTCAGGCTGGTCTCAAACTCCCAACCTCAGGTGATACACCTGCCTCAGCCTCCCAAAGTGCTGGGATTACAGGTGTGAGCCATTGTGCCCAGCTTATTTTTTGCATTTTTAGAGACCAGTAGAGACCAGATTATACTATGTTGGTCAGGTGATCTGCCCGCCTAGGCTTCCCAAAGTGTTGGGATTACAAGAGTGGGCCACTGTGCCCAGAGGTTTCTCATAGATTTTAAAAAATCAGGTTGAGGAACCTCCCTTTCACTTTTAGTTTGTTGAGTTTTTATCACGAAGAGGTGTTGTATATTTTCAAATGCTTTTTCTGTGATTATTGAGTCGATCCTATACGTCTTTTCCCCTTCTGAATATTTGAAGAAGGGCATCTTGCCAGTGGACTCTAGTCCCCACTTAGGTCTCAACACAGCTAGTAGGGGAGATGTGTGGCTGTTCTTTTTTGTTTGTTGGCTGATCTGACTTAAATACTTATTACTATTACTATTTTTTGAGACAGAGTCTCGTTCTTGTCATCCAGGCTAGAGTGCAGAGTCATGATCTCTGCTCACTGCAACCTCTGCCCTGCAAGGTTCAAGTGATTCTCCTGCCTCAGCCTCCTGAGTAGCTGGGATTACAGGCACCTGCCACCACACCCGGCTAATTTTTGTATTTTTAGTAGAAACAGGGTTTCACCATGTTGGCCAGGCTGGTCTCAAATTCCTGACCTCAGGTGATCTGCATGACCTGGCCTCCCAAAGTGCTGGGATTACAGGAGTGAACCACCGATTCTGGCTGTTATTATTATTAGAGGCAGGGCCCTGCTCTGTCATCCAGAGCTGGAATACTGTGGTGCCATCTTGGCTCACTGCAGCCTCGACCTCTTGGGCTCCAGTGATCTTCCCACCTTAGTCCCCTGAGTAGCTGGGACTACAGGCATGCATCTGAAATGTTTTTTATTTTTATTTTTTATTTTGGTAGAAACAGGCTTTAGCCATGTTGCCCAGGCTGGTCTTGAACTCCCGAGCTCAAGTGATCTGCCTGCCTCGGCCTCCCAAAGTCTGACATTACAGGCGTGAGTCACTGCTCCGGGCCTGAAACACTATTATTAAAATCACTTGCCCACGCGGTGGCCTGTGCCTGTAGACCCAGCTACTCGGGAGGCTGAGGTTGGAGGATCGCTTGATCCCAGGAGTTCTGGGCTGTAGTACACTATGCTGATCGGGTGTCTGCATTAAGTTTGGCGTCAATATGGTGACCTCCCCGGAACGGGGGACCACCAGGTTGCCTAAGAGGGGTGAAGTGGCCCAGGTCGGAAACGGAGCAGGTCAAAACTCCCGTGCTGATCAGTAGTGGGATCGTGCCTGTGAATAGCCACTGCACTCCAGCCTAGGCAACAAAGCGAGACCCCGTCTCTAAACTAATTAATTAAAACCACTTATTTGTAAATAGGTAATATTTGCACATGATAAGTAGAAATCATTTAGTAAACAGTCAACGATGACAGGCTTGCTGTGTTTTTTTCCCTTTTGGCAAACACGTGCTCATTTCCTTGCATTTTGTCTGTGGTGGCTTTCTTGCAACAAAGGCAGAGATGAATAGTTGCTACGGAGACTACATACCAGAAAACATTTTCTATTAGGTCCTTTACAGAACGGTTCTTCGCTGATTGTTTTTTTTTTTTGGTTGTTGTTGTTTGTTTTGTTTTAGTCTTTTACCATTTCAATCAATGTTGCTATGCTATCTTCGTATATATACGTCATTTTGCACATGTGAGCTTCTGTAGAATGAATGCCTCTGTGCGGAAATGCTAGTTCTTAGGGTGTCAGCATTTGTCGTTTTGATAGTTTTGATAGGTGTTACCAAATAGCCCTCTGGGGAACTTGAACCAATTTATACTCTTCAGCGAAGCATGCTTGGACCTGTTCCCCACAGCCTCCACTAACCTTGTTAAATTAACATCTTGATACTTGCCAATACGAGAAGGGAAACACGATGTTCATTGTAGTGTTAATTTGCATTTATTTGATTATGAATAAAGAGCATCTTTTCTTTCTTCCTTTTTTTTTTTAAGACGGGGTTTCGCCATGTTGGTCAGGCTGGTCTTGAACTCCCGAACTCAGGTGATCCACCCGCCTTGGCCTCCGAAGTGTTTGGATTACAGGCGTGAGCCACCACGCCCGGCCTAAGTACATATTTTCGTCTCAAAATCTTAAAAACAAACACAAAAAACTCCTCCTGAACTCTTCCCACCCAACAGACTCAAGACTTGTGACCAGGCCGTTGGCCTTAGGCAGGACTCCGGTGCGGCAGTGGCGGAAAAGGCGGATGTGGCGGACCACTCCCCGCCCCCCAATTCCTTTTAACCAATTCCTTCACAGCCGCGGGCCCCTCCCCGAGTCCGCCTCTGGAAGGCCTGGGCGGAGCGCATGGCCGGTGGGAGGTGCTGAGCCTCCTGAATTATTCCTATCCCGGAGGAGCAGGAGCTAGAACCGCGCGGGGTCTGAGCAGCCCGCGCACCCCGTCCCGCGCCGCGTCCCCGCAGCATGTCGCGCCCCCGCCTGCTGGCCGCGCTGTGCGGTGCGCTGCTCTGCGCCCCCAGCTTGCTCGTCGCCCTGGGTGAGTGGAGCGCGCCGCCCTCGGGCCCTCGCCCTCCTCCCCGCGCTGCTCGGAAGTTCGCCCGGCGCCCTCCCTCCACCTCCACTGTTGACAAACTTAGACAAAGCCCCGGGGACCGGGCCGGGCTGAGGGGCGGCTTCTCCCGCTGCGGCCTGGCGGGACCGCGGGACGCGCCCCTGCAGTCTCTGCGCTGGGGCCTTTGGGCTTGTGCGTTGGGTGGGGACTCGGGACATCGGGTGACAGCTCTGCCGCCCCCAGGGATGCGGCTTACACATAATGACAAAGGAATCCGCTGTGTCGGGCCTCTCTTTTCCCGTCTTAAAAATGAGGCCAGGGAACTGCGTTACCGCACCCCTTCCACCTGGGAGATTCTAGGACTCTTGTGTATTGATGAGTCTTCTCGGGATAACTCTACCCTGGCAACACCCCGCCAACCCCTGTTGGCCGGACAGTTCATTGGATTTTTTGCGCTCCATGCCTGGTCACAGAAGGAAAGGACTGGGAAGCCGGTGCAATGGACGCGAGCCCTAACTGGGGCCCAGGAGGGGACGCAGAGGCCGTGAGGAACTTGGAAGAGGGCTGCCCGTTGATGGGAGTCTCCTGACTCCCTCTCCCCCGCGGCCTTGGCCGGCTGCTGTATCTTCCCTGGTCCTCCTCCGCCGCTCAGTAGGCTTCCAGCGGCCAGCTGGGCCCCTTGCAAGCTGGGCTTGCGGATGCCCCATGCCCTTCACCGTGGGGCGCTGGGAAAGGAGTGCCCAGGAGGGGATTAGGTGGCCCCTCCATCATTTTCTCATAGAAATGGGATTGACTGAAGCGAGAGAAGTAACAGCTGAGCCACAGCCCTATGACCTGTGATCTGCCTGACCTCCAGGGCTGGAGCTTGCAGAGTGCTCCAAGCTCCCGGAAACTTGGGAGCTCCTGGCCCTCCCCGGCCACCCTGAAAGACAGCTGGATCTTCACAGCCCTTTTTACTCCTCTCTGTAACCCCTAACCTGAACCCTGGCCAAATGTTCCTGGAAAGTCCCCGAAAGAGCAGGGCTCTGAAGTATCAAAGATGTTTTTTTTTTTAAAGATGGGGTTTCACCATGTTGGTCAGGCTGGTCTTGAACTCTGGACCTCAGGTGATCCACCCGCCTTGGCCTCCAAAGTACTTGGATTACAGGCGTGAACCACCGTGCCCGTCCCCAAAGATGGTTTTATACAGGGTGAGCTGGCCTTTTCCAGGAGGAGGAGACATGGTAGCTACCTTACACAAAGGTAACCTGGCTGGGTAGGGTACACCTTTCACTTTCCTGTTTCCCACTGGACCGTTTTCGCCCTGGAGCAGGGTAGGGAGAGGGCCGAGGGCCGGCGCGGTTGGGAGGGGAGGAAGAGTCCATTCCTAACCCAGGCCTCTCTGTGTCAGTGCCCGCCCCCGCCTGCCAGGTCAGCGGCCGGATTACCTGCTATTTAAAGCCAATGACTAATAGCTCCTTGGGAGCCACTTTAAGCTCCACAGGCCTCTGGAGGCGGAGCTCTGAGGGCAGATGCCTCATTAATGGTGTTGCCTTCTCTGGAGCAGGGTGAACGCTCTGGGGCTGTGGGATTTCAGGAGGACTCTCCAGCCTTAGATGGGTTGACTCTGAGGAGGAGGCAAAAAGATTTCTCATGTCGGGCCGGGTGTGGTGGCTCATCCCTGTCATCCCAGCACTTTGGGAGACTGAAGCAGGTGGATCACCTGAGGTTGGGAGTTTGAGACTAGCCTGACCAACATGGAGAAACCACGTCTCTACTAAAAATACAAACTTAGCCAGGTGTGCTGGTGCATGCCAGCTACTCGGGAGGCTGAAGCAGGAGAATACCTTGAACCTAGGAGGCTGTGGTTATGGGGAGCTGAGGTTGTGCCATTGCACTCCAGCCTAGACAATAAGAGTGAAACTTGGTCTCAAAAAGAAAAAAAAAAGGTTTCTCATGTCTTACTCCAAATGACAGATTTGGGTGCAGGGTTTGGGGCAGCCCTTCTGGGATGCTATGATCAGCTAGAGGACCCTTGTTGGGGCCGGCTGAGCGACCAGAGTGAAGGGATTGAGGACATGCTCTCCTCCTGTTCCTCCTGTGTTTTCCACTGCCGGGGCTGATAGTGCATATCTGTCATCCAGGTTCCCATCCAGAAGCTCTGGTGGCCTCTCCAGCCCTTGTCCCCTGGTGTTCTGAAATCACCCTTCTCTCTCACTCCTCTGCCCTGACTTCCTCTCTCACCACCCTCTCCTGCTTCCCACCTTCACCCTCTTCAGTGGGATTTCTGCTTTTCAGCCAGAGGGACCTGGCTGCAGCTACCAGCCGCTCCCCACTGCAGGGGGCTCAGGTCTGCACGTGGCCTTTCAGCCTTCTGCATCCGGCAGTTGGAACTGACTTTCCCACCCCCATCTCACAAATGAGAATCTGTTTCTTGTTTTTTTTCTCCCTCTGGTGGGCAGTGGGGAGGAGGGTGAAGGAAGGTTAAAAGCCACTGCTCACAGGCTGAAAAAAAACTAAACTTGGATTCTAAAGATCCCTCTCAGTCTGGCCCCAGCCTCCCATCCGGTTCTGTCTTACTGCGCTCCAACATGCCCTGCCCTCTGTGCCTCTGCTTTTCTTGGAACATTCTCTCCTCGTTGCCCAGTCTGGCACCCACATTACTCTGTCTTCTAGCCCCAGCTCGAATATCCCTTCCTCTGGGTCTCAGCAGAAATCAGGCCCCCAGCGGCCGTCCATGCAGGCTTCTGGAGCGCTGGGCACTCTTCCTCATCTGTGGACCTGCTGGCCTTTTTTCTCGTTGGCTTCTTGAGGCCTGCTGCACCTGATTTCTCTGTCGCAGGGGCCCAGCATGGTCACTGGCCCTCCCAGTGTCTCCTGGATGATCATTGTGCTGTTTCTGAGTCAGGGCTGCTGTTGGAGGTGACATCTGTGACTCCAACCCGTGCCTGAATTGGTGGGCAGAACCTGCTCTGTGGGCCAGGACAGTGCTTCCTTCCACTGCCCCTGCCTTTAAGGACTCATGGGCCTTCTTTGCAATCAGAGTGTTGCCAAGAGACCTGGCCTGGACCTTGCCTGCCTTTCCATGCCCTAGCTGCCAGCTCTTTCCTCAGTAGGCAGTGGCCCCCAGCACCACTCTCATTGTCAGCCAGCATTTTTTTTTTTTTTTTTGAGATGGAGTCTCCATCTGTTGCCAGGCTGGAGTGCAATGGCGCGATCTCAGCTCATTGCAACCTCCGACTCCTTGGTTCAGACTATTCTCCTGTCTCAGCCTCCTGAGTAGCTGGGATTACAGGCATGCACCATGATGTCCAGCTAATTTTTCTATTTGTTTGTTTGTTTGTTTTTGAGACGGAGTCTGGCTCTGTCGCTCAGGCTGGAGTGCAGTGGTGTGATCTTGGCTCCCTGCAACCTCCACCTCCCGGGTTCAAGTGATTCTCCTGCCTCAGCCTCCCAAGTAGATGGGATTACAGGCACCTGCCACCATGCCCAGCTAATTTTTTGTATTTTTAGTAGAGATGGGGTTTCACTGTGTTGGCCAGGCTGGTCTTGAACTCCTGACCTCATGACCCACCTGCCTCTGCCTCCCAAAGTGCTGGGATTACAGGCTTGAGCCACTGCACCCGGCAAGCCAGCAGTTTTCAGGACACTCCCAGGCCACTTGGAAAGCTGGGCACTTCCCTTATTTGGGCTGATTTGCCTACACTTGGACCTCCTTGGCTCTAGCCTGGCTCAGGCTCCATCCAGCAGACTAGGGAAAAGGCAGAAGAAGAGAGAATGGGCTGAGTTTGAGTGGAGAGTCCTTTTGGGCTGGGCTTATCTACCACTTCTCATCTCTGTCCCCAGCTCCTTCCTGATCACCTGCTAACCTTCCCTGTCTCTGTCCCCAGATATCTGTTCCAAAAACCCCTGCCACAACAATGGCTTATGCAAGGAGATTGCCCAGGAAGTTCGAGGGGACGTCTTCCCTGCCTATACCTGCGAATGTCTTGAGGGATACGTGGGCAGCCACTGTGAGCTGAGTGAGTATCTGGGAGTCCCTGCTGCCTGTTCCTGGCAGGAGACCCTGAGCCACAGCCCTGGTGGCACAGGCCATGTGCTGGCCTGATTTCCTCTCTGCTGTCCCCACCCCAGGGGAGCTGGCAAGGCCTCCTCTGGGGAGATTGAGAGAGAGACGGAGCCCCAGTTAAACAAGGTGGGAAGAGGGTCCTGCGGTTTCTTCCTTCTGCCCAGCCCGCTTTCCTGGGACTGCAGGCCGGGCCTGATGTTGCCGCAGAGGAGTGAGGGGTTGTGGTCACCCTGGAGGTCATGGGAATGTTATTATTGAGTCACCATGAGCCAGACACACAGCGTTAGGGTTAAGTCGTGGGGATTTCTCTACCTGAGGGGAAAACAAACACATTCTTAGCCTTTTGGGGCCCAGGGACTCAGTAAATCAGGCTTGGTCTCAGAGTCTGACAGTTCCTGGCCCAAGTTTGACCTGCGACCTCATCACAGAGCTTGGGGAGGAGGGAGGGGCCTGGCCAGCTGAGCCGTCCCCTCGTGGTGAGGTGGTCAGAGGCCCTGTGTGTCCTCGTGTGACCTGCCTGGTCATCTCCTTGGCCACAGAATGGCCCTGGGTGGGGTGTCCACAGTGGTTCCCCTGCAGTCCTCCCTCCAGGCCCAGCTGGAGGCCCTCCCACCCCACCGGGACTCCTCATGGGGCAGGCAGGTGCCCACATGAGGGCCCAGGGATGGGTAGAATGGGGGTCCTAGGTTTCCAAATCCAGCAGGTCAGTCTGAGCCTCTTGGGTAGGGGGCAGGGAACGTCTTGCTCTCCTTCAGGCAGATGTGGGGATGGGCTCTGAGGTCTGCTGACCTCCAGAAGGAGGGGGTGGGGGGGTGCTTGAGCCAGCTGGGCTTGAGCAGGGGCCCCGGGAGAAAGCAGGTCAAGTGTGCAGGATGCCTTTTACCTTCCAAGTGGCCCTGGGTCCTGTGCCTTGGGCCTTGGCCTGAGGCCAGGTGTGTTTGAGATCCTGGTGAAAGGGTGTGTTTACAGTTTGGGGGATGGGTTGCCAAGGCAGAGCCCTAGGTGGGGCCAGGTGGGCCCACTGACCTGTGTCCTGGGAGCTGAGGTCACTGTGGGTGACCCGAGTTGGAATTACCACCCTGACTTCTAGCTTTTGGGCCTGGGATCTGCCCCAGGCTGGGTATGGCCGTGTCCCGGAGGAAGGCAGGGGTGGCCACACATCGGAGGAACCCCCGGAGGGACCGCTGCAGCCCTTCCTTGCCTTTTACGTGGTGTGTTTCCTTGCAGCCAGCAAGGACCCTGTAGGCCCAAAGAATGCACACTGCACTCCTTCAGGGTGTGAGCGTGGTGGGGTATGGGGGTTGTCCCAGAGGCAGGCTGGGGTCAAATCTCAGCTCAGCTACTGGCTGCCCTGGTGTTGGGAGTAAAGCCTAGAAGCAACTATCTGTGAAACCTCTTTGCAATGTGTGGATTCATCTCACAGAGCTGAACGTATGTTTTGATTCGTCAGATGGGAAACACTTTGTGTAGAATCTGGGAGTGGTCAAGTCAAAGCCCACTGAGGCCGATGGCCTCACCTCGCGCCTTCCCCTCCCTGCCAGAGTGCGACGGCACTGAGCTTGTCTGAGCCTGTGATGTGATGTGGAAGGAAGAGCAGGTCTGTCTCTGGGTTCTCTGCTTGGCAGCTGGAAGGCCCAGACACATACTGGGGGGATCCCCAAGCGAAGAGAGAAGCTTGGTGTGTAGGTGGGCCGAGGTTCCTGGGACCGCACTGCTGGAGTGACGGTGAAGGGTGTGGGGTCTCGGCCACGGGCAAGTTCCCAGACAGGGCGAGGGCCCACAGGTGGAAGGCGCAAAGAGGGAAAGCCGAATGGCATTTGTGCCCCACCCAGAGAACTCCTGCCAGTGGGATTCTAGAAAACTCCAGGCAAATTTGCTTCTTTCTTTGTGTTCAGTGCTGGTACTGTTCACTGCCATCCAAGGTAGCTTTTCTTCCAAACCGCCTTCCCGACGAAGCCAGGGGCTGGGCTGAAGATGGCGTCCCTTCCTGGTGGAGGGGGACGTTGGGGAAGAGGGGTCACACCGGTATTCTGTGCTACCAGTCCAAACCCTGCACTAGATTAATTGCTGCCAGATGCCCTATATGAACGAGACCACCTCCCACAGCCTGGAGGGGACTCTTTCCCATGAGTGCCAATCACGGGCATCCCCAGAGTGCCACCCTGGCCGGAATCCTTTGGCAGCCCTGGGTCCCAGCCTCCCATGAGTCTGCCCACCCCCCTCATCCTCAGCACCCCCTGCCACACACCTTTTCTTGGCACCTCCTGCTGGGCACTGCCTGCATTGGCCCTTTGTGGTCTTTGTTCTAAGTGAAGGTCTGAGGTTCTCTCTGGCTCTGGGGCCTAGGCAGAAGCCATATAGTGCTATTTTCTTGTCTGCTGGGTCCCAGCTGGGGGTGGCCACCTGACTGCCATCTCCCTCCCCTCAGAGTGCGCCGAGCCACTGGGCATGGAGAATGGGAACATTGCCAACTCACAGATCACCGCCTCATCTGTGCGCGTGACCTTCTTGGGTGTGCAGCACTGGGTCCCGGAGCTGGCCCGCCTGAACCGGGCAGGCATGGTTAATGCCTGGACCCCCAGCAGTAATGATGACAGTCCCTGGATCCAGGTAGGCGGGGGATGGCCCTGGGGCGGGTGATGGAGAGAAGGCTCCAGGCATGTTCCTGCATTTGGGGGTATCCACGGGAGGGTTCAGGTTCATCGTGGGTCCAGGTGGCAAGGTAGCAGGTTCCCACAGATGAAGTGTCTGTAAGTGGATGGCATCCCTGGGGGAGCCTGGTGCAGGGCTAGGGTGAGGGGGAGCTGTTTGTGCCGGATGAGGCCTCTGGAGGCCTGGGGCGAAGGAGAAGGCCCTTTGTGAGGGCAGCGTGCTCAGCTGCCCCCCTCTGTTTTGCTTGTTGTTCCCCCACCTGGTGGGGGGAGTGAAGGGGTGGGTCTGCTTGGATCTTGAGTGGAAAGAACCCAGGAGATAAGGGTGCCGTCTCTCCTGCTCCGCGTCCAGGTGAACCTGCTGCGGAGGATGTGGGTAGCAGGTGTGGTGACGCAGGGTGCCAGCCACTTGGCTAATCATGAGTACCTGAAGACCTTCAAGGTGGCCTACAGCCTTAATGGACATGACTTCGATTTCATCCATGATGTTAATCAAAAACACAAGGTAGGTCTTGTTGGGGCCTGAGAGAGAAGGGCTGTAGTCCATACCCTCTAGGGTACCATGACTGACAGAGGACCCCCAGTAAGGCCAGAGAATGCTAGGTGATTGGCCATGATGTGGGTCTTTGGGTGCATCTTGGTTTCTAGAAATTGGGAAACCCAGATGTGTCCATGTTCTGTGGTTTATAAGCAATAATCCCACTTTATAGATGAGGACAGTGAGACTCAAAATGGTGCCATGACCTGTTGAGGGTGGTAGTGGTGGTGGAGCTGGGTTTCATTCTGAGCCTTCAGGGGTACATGTACAGTTGTGTAGGTTGTACACTGCTCAAGGATGTCATTATGAAGTGGGGACCATTCACATTACAGTCATGGCACATTTGTGGAACTCTGTCAGAAAATTGTCATAATAAACTTTGAGAAAAAAAGTGTCTTTTCCTAATTTGCAAAGAGGCACCCTGTAGGTTACAGGTGACCTGTGTCACCTATAGCAGTTTATGCCCAGGCTCCACGATGATTAAGGAAGGTGAGATGAGAATCTGTGTGGAGGGCTGTGGGGTGGCCAAAAGAGAAGCTGCTGTGTGAGCCTCCGGTGGCTCTTCCAAGCCCTCCTCACCCTCCCAGCCCCACCTCTGCCTCCCAGGTCTGAAGAGGAAGATAAGGTAAACCGAGGAGGGGGACTGCCCAGATGGGCCCGCGTCTCCAGTCTTGTCTCTTCCCTCCTAGGAGTTTACGGGTAACTGGAACAAAAACACGGTGCACGTCAACCTGTTTGAGACCCCTGTGGAGGCTCAGTACGTGAGGTTGTACCCCACAAGCTGCCACACGGCCTGTACTCTGCGCTTTGAGCTACTGGGCTGTGAGTTGAACGGTGAGTGCTGGGTTTGTGGGTAGGGGGCGCTGCGGGCCAGTCCTAGGAGGTGGTCCTCCCTCCTGCCTCTCTTCTGAGCCGAACTGAGCTGCGTGGGGCAGCAGCAAGGCCCGGGGACCAGGCTTCACTCGGGAAACGCAGTCTAGGGCTTCACCTGGCCACGGCAGTCCCGCCCAGGTATTTGCTGCCTGCCAACCCGTAACCCAGGGCGTTCTGGTTGATAGAGAAAAAAAGACACCGTTTTTGAAGGATTTTCACTCTCTCTGGTTGGCTCCTGTCCTGTAGCGTCTAGAACACGAAGCGTTAGGTGTGTTTTGCAGATGTCAGTTTTACGAGGGCAGAGGATTTGTCCGTTTTGTTTGCCTCGGTATTCCCAGTGCCTAGAACGGCGTCTGGTTCGTGGGTGCTTAATAAATATCGGATGAATGAGTAAATGAATGAATGAGTGGGGCCCGGATGAATGATTTATGAAGGGTGCACATCCGGTAGCTATTAAGACGTGGTCCAGACCTCCGGGCTCCCGACCCCCCCCCCCCCCCCACCACAGCTTTCCCTGCCAAACTCGGAGTCTACACTCCAGAGAGATGGAGGGGCTTCTACTGCTGCCTTCTTCAAAGAGACGCCCAGGTGGAGAGCTGGGGGGACCAGGAAAGGACAGATTTCTTCAGAGCCCGGAGACGGCCTTGGCGAGGTCAGGGTGCATGCAGGGTTTGGGCTGACAGACGTTCGTTGCCTCCGCCCAGCTCCACCAGCGTTTCTTTTTGAGGTCTGGGTATTTCTGTCGCCTTGCAGCCGCAGGGCCACCTGCTGGCCATCCGTGGAACTCTAGGGCTGGCCAAGCAGAGCGCGGAGTGGAGGTTGTCACCCACGGACGTTTTTCTCTTACCCAGACGTGCCCTCCTGCACCCCATTTTTCCCTCTGTGACGCCGCCTCCCGTCATCTCATTTCAGACGTCACCCACGTCCCCCTCGGAGCTGAGTTCCGTGCCTGGCTGGGTTTAGTGTTTTTAGCATGAACTTCAGTAGGTATTTGCTTCCTCCACTAGGAATGCTCCTTGTGAGGCTCGTTGTTTCGACGGGGAGTCTAAGACTTTGCCTTCTTCTCGGAGGAAATAGAGCCTACTGGGAAAGGACAGAGCCGAGTCCCCGTGCCTCTCCCTGGAGTCCCTGCCACTTGCTGTCTTGGCTTGAAGCCTTTGGCCATTGAAGCTGCCTGCGTTCAGGCATGGCTGGCCCCCACTGCAGGCCAAGAGAGGGTGAGCCTTGCAAACCAAGAAAGGCCAGTGTAAGGTTCCTTCTCTGTGAGGTCTACTGTCGAGTTTAAAATGAGAAAACGGAGAACAATTAGACGCCAATATATTCAGCTCCCTGGCGAGGTTCTATGGTTCTGGGAAAGGGGGCCAGAGAAGTCTCACCTGACTTCTCGCAGGCTTGGGGGCTATATAGGGAGAGAAAGCGCTCTGATTGGCTGTGGAGAACCGGACGTGGACGTGGCAAGCTGCTATAGGTAGGTAGGCGGGATTTCTGGTGAGCGGGCTGGACGGGGCAATGCGCTATTGGGCAGGTTTTGGCGGGGCTTCTTTTAAATTTTGGTGGGTTTTCCAACGGCTGGCTAGGTCCCCAGTGCAGAGTGTAGTGTCGAGTGCAGATCCTGGTGCTAAGTGCAGAGGGGATTTCCAACAGCGGTCTAGGTGCCCAGTGCAGAGTTTAGTGTTGAGTGCAGAGGTGGGCGTGGCAAAGCTAGATGCTGAGTGCAGATTCTGGTGATGTAATTTCAGGCGTGTGAGGGATGGGCGTGCCTTACACTGCAGGCTCTGGACCACTCGTTTCCCTATAGGCACTCCAGTGGGCTGGGGAGTGCTGGTGCACGTGTGCACGTGTGTGGGTGGGGCTGAGGTCTGGGTGTACCCGGGACTCCACGAGGGATTCCTCTTTGCAGAGATGGTGCCTTTGGCGAATTAGTTATTTAATTCAATTGATGTTTATTAAGATATTGATTAAGGCAGGGCGCGGTGGGTCACGCCTGTAATCCCAGCACTTTGGGAGGCCGAGGCAGGTGGAACATGAGGTCAAGATATCGAGACCATCCTGGTCAACATGGTGAAACGCCGTCTCTGCTGAAAATACAAAAATTAGCTGGGCATGGTGGCGCATGCCTGTAATCCCAGCTACTCGGGAGGCTGAGGCAGGAGAACTGCTTGAACCCAGGAGGCGGAGGTTGCGGTGAGCCAACATCGCGCCATTGCACTCCAGCCTGGGTAACAAGAGAAACTCCGTCTCAAAAAAAAAAAAAAAAAAAAAAAAAAGATATTGATTAAGTCCCTTCTGGATACTTGGCTCTAGGGAATGATTCCTTGACCTCATGGAATCTGCACTGTAGCCGAGGAGGCAGACAAGGAGCAGATAAAAGGACAGTCAGAGAGCAGTCACAGCTCTGAAGAAAAGCTAGAGGGTGATGAGATGACCATGACTTGGGGTGCAGGGAGGGAGCAAGACAAGGCCTGCTCTGCTGGGAAGGCCGTTGACTGGGGGCCTGAATGGTGGAGAGCAAGGCACAGGAAGAACTCACAAAAGCACTGTAGGCAAGGAGTTGGCGAGTGCAAAGGCCCCAGGGCATGTCGGAGGGCGCAAGGAAGGCCAGTGGGGCTGGAGCCTAGAGAGTGAGGGGCAGCTTGATGGGCGAAGAGCCCCAGGGACCAGCAGTATCATCACCTGGGAGCTTCTTAGAAATGCAGGCTAAGGCTGGGCACGGTGGCTCACGCCTGGAATCCCAGCACTTTGGGAGGCCGAGGCGGGCGGATCACCTGAGGTCAGGAGTTCAAGACCAGCCTGGCGAACGTGACGAAACCCTGACTCCACTAAAAAAAGTACAAAAATTAGCCGAGCCTGGTGGTCAGCGCCTGTAGTCCCAGCCACTAGGGTGTCTGAGGTAGGACAATTGTTTGAACCTGGCCAGGAGGCGGAGGTTGCAGTGAGCCGAGATCGTGCCACTGCACTTCAGCCTGTGTGACAGAGTGAGACTCCATCTTAAAAAAACAAAGAAGTGCAGAGTGAAATCCCCAGCCTAGAGTTGCTCAAACAACCTTTTTTTTTTTTTTTTTTTTGGAGATGGAGTCTCCTGGGTTAAAGTAGTTCTCTGCCTCAGCCTTCGAAGTAGCTGGGATTATGGGCACCTGCCACCATGCTGGGCTAATTCTTGTATTTTTAGTATAGATGAGGTTTCACCTTCTTGGCCAGGCTGGTCTTGAACTCCTGACCTTGTGATTCACCCACCTCGGCCTCCCAAAGGGGCATGAGCCACTGTGCCTGGTGAAAGAGTATTTTTCAAATAAGATCTCAGGTGATCTGTGAGAATTATTTCCTAGTATCTCATTTTACAGATGGGGAAACTGAAACCCAGAGAGAGGAAGGGATTTCCTAGAGTGAGGGAGCTGAAAGCCCTGCCCTGCCCTGCCCTGCCCTGGTGCCCCTCCCAACTGCAATTTGCCAGGAAGGCTGTCTGACTTCTTGGGAGGTTGAGAGCGAGCCGAGTATGATGTGTAGAGGGGTCTGTGATGAACACATTGTGCAGAATTGGTGTCCTCTGCAAAGCTGCCCAGGTGTTAGCCTGCCTCAGGCCTCTCCTCTTCTGGAGCCAAGGGACGGCCAGCTCCCAGCCCAGTAGCCTCTCTTTGAGGGAAGGTCATGGTTCCATCAGGAGGAGACGGTCCCCTCGGCAGGCAATTGTCAACACACCCTGGAGGCAAATGTCTTGCGTCGTGAGGGTGCAGGTGTCTGGGGGCAGTGATAGAACTTAGCTGGCTCCCAGATGGATCCCTCTGGGGGATCGCCTCCCCCAGTTCCCCAGAGGGATAGATACTGTGGAGTGAGGATTCTTCTCGGTGGGAGACACCCCCATCATTCTCTTGGGAGTTGTATCTCCTGCCACCAACTCTTCTATCCATATGCAGGTGCAGATACGAGTGCAAGGCAGCCCGGCACGTTCCTGAGTGTTTGGGGCAGGGCTGAGTGAAACAAAGGCCCCCTCTCTGGGCCAGGCCTCACAGGCCCATGTGACCCAAAACATTTGAGTGTGCGAAGTGCGCCCTCTGGGAGACACTAAGTTGAGGGGCTTTCTGGAGAATTGAAGTGGAGATGCTCCTGAGCCCCAGGATTTGTCTGATTTCTCTAAGTTCCAGCTGCTGGAGGGCAGGGAGGTTGTCCTGTTCATCACTGGGTCGCCACCAGGCAGGCCTTCATCAGCCAGGCAGGATGTGTGGAAGGTAGAGCTGATGTCATAGTGTGGCATCAGGAGTCTGAGTGACTTGGGCATGAGGCTTCATGTCTTTCTGTTTTCTCATCTGTAGAATGGGCTTACTAATTTCTACTTCATTTAGTGGTTTTTTTTTTTTTTTTTTGGTGGCAGGTTAAATGACTGAATTAAGCACTGAATAAACAAGGAGGTTGTTATTAACGTAGATAGCAGCTGTACCATGGGATGGCTGGGGACAGTGCTGTGAGCCCAGAAGAGGAAGAAATCCTGCCCAAGTGAAGTAGTCAGGGCAGGCTTCTTGGAGGTGGGGTCTCACAAGTCAGGCATGAAGAAGGGCAGAAAGTGGTGGAGCAGGGGCTTCCCTGGTGCACTGGGAAAAGGGTGGTGAGTGGGAGGTCTTGGGTGATTTATGAGGAACTGAGCCCAGCTGGTTGAGGTGAGGCGCTGGTGGGGCTGGCAGTGCAGAAGGTAGCACAGTTGGCCATGCAAGGCAGATGGAGCTGCTTTCTGTTGTCCAAGAGCATTCCAGGGGCTGCTCCGGATCCACAGAGCGTGTTCCGTTTCATCGCCTTGTGCTCCCACCCCTGGGAGCTGTGGATCCGAGATTCAGATGACAGCCCATCTTGCTGGCAGGATGCCACCATCCCCTGGGCCTGAAGAATAACAGCATCCCAGACAAGCAGATCACGGCCTCCAGCAGCTACAGGACCTGGGGCTTGCACCTCTTCAGCTGGAACCCCTCGTATGCGCGGCTGGACAAGCAGGGCAACGTCAATGCCTGGGTGGCGGGGAGCTACGATAAGGATCCATGGCTGCAGGTGGGTGAGCCCCGCCTGGGACGCAGGGTGGGGTTGGGTGGGATGAGGCCTGGCTGCCAGGTCTGACCTCTCCCCTGCCCCGGCTGTGCTCCCCAAAGAGTTCTAGAAAAGCCGTGTTTTTCTTTGGCTGTTCTTTCTTCTTCCCACCTGAACCCCCTTCTCCTGATCCTGCTTCCACCAAGGTGGAGAAAGGGTGTGTGTGTATGTGTATGTGTGTGTGTATGTGTGTGTGTATGTGTATGTGTGTGTGTATGTGTGTGTGTATGTGTATGTGTGTGTGTATATGTGTGTGTGTGTGTGAGAATGCTTGTATGTGTGAGTGTATGTGTGTATGTGTGTTTGCGTGTGTGTGTGTGTGTGTGTGTGTGTGTGTGTACACAGGAGGAGAGCCACTCCATGACTGCACAGGGTTGACAAGGCTCAGCCTGTGGACAGCAGGGTGGAGGCATCTTGGGACCTCTCCCCTTGAGCACAGCGTACATATTCTCTGACTCAGTGTCTAAGAAGCCACCATGGGACAGCCCTTGTATGTCACTGAAACTGGGAAACAAAAGAGTCATGAAAACCAGGGCTGGTTTTGTAGATGTGGAAACTGAGCTGGCAGGACGGTGCTCTGCCTAGTGCCCGCCTGCTGGCTGGTAGTGAGTTGGGTTGGCACCCGGATGTTGGGGAAGTCGTGTGTCCAGGTGCAGCTGGCAGGCTCTCCAGGGAGGTCAGGGACTGGGGACAGGAGGCCTGGCTCAGGGCCCCATGGAGCACACTGCGGAGGTGGGTTCCACGAGGAGCTGCCTGCCTGGGGACACCCTCAGGACCAGAGTCAGACTGTGAGCAGCACTGCAGGGAGCCTCCAAAGCGGTTCTTGCCCTTCTAGGCTGTGGCTTTTCCTGTCCCTCTTCCCATCACACTGCAGTGCAGGTCTCAGGGAGGTTTTGGTGTGGGGTTGGCCAGGGCTCACACTCTGTGAGAGGTGCCTAACACCACGTATGGCAAGGTAGGTTGTATTATTTACGCTCCTTTTTTATATTGAGACAGAGTCTTGCTCTGTCAACCAGGCTGGAGTGCAGTGGAGCAGTCTCAGCTCACTGCAACCTCTGCCTCCTGGGTTCAAGCCATTCTCCTGCCTCTGCCTCCCTAGTAGCTGGGATTACAGGCACCTTCCATCATGTCCAGTTACTTTTTTGTATTTTTAGTAGACATGGGGTTTCACCATGTTGGCCAGGCTGATCTCGAACTCCTGACCTCAGGTGATCCACCCACCTTGGCTTCCCAAAGTGTCGGAATTATGTACAGGTGTGAGCCACCACATCTGGCCTTATGCCCATTTTATAACTGAGGAAACTGAGGCTCAGCCAAGTAGCTTTTTTTTCAAAACTAGAATTCATGCCTCAGTGTGTCTGCCTCTTTTCACCTAACTAGAGATGGTCCAAGCAGAGAAAATGCGATTGGTTTCTTCTGTAGGTGGACCTGGGCTCCCCGAAGCAGGTGAAGGGCATCATCACACAGGGGGTCCGTAACTTTGGCTCCATCCAGTTTGTGGCATCCTACAAGGTGGCCTACAGTAATGACAGCATGAATTGGACTGAGTACCAGGACCGCAGGACTGGCAGCAGCAAGGTAGGTGTCTGTCCAGCTGCCCACCCCTTGCCATGCCTTCATCACTTTCCTGGAGTCTGGCCTGGGGCCCTGAGGGGAGTGGGCTGGCTCTGGGGTCCTCCTGACAGCCCCTCTGCCTCTAGATCTTCCCTGGCAACTGGGACAACCACTCCCACAAGAAGAACCTGTTTGAGACGCCTGTCGTGGCTCGCTATGTGCGCGTCCTGCCGGTGGCCTGGCACAACCGCGTCGCCCTGCGCCTGGAGCTGCTGGGCTGTTAGCGGCCACCTGCCCCCCCGGTCCTCCTGCTTTCCGCCGGCCTGCCGCCTCCTGTGTCCTCAGCCCCTTTAAATCACCATGGGGCTGGGGACTGGGGAGGGGATGGTGTTCAGAGGCAGCGTGGTCACCCCTCCCTCCTTCCCTCCCTCTTCTTCACCCTCCACCTCTCACGGGTCCTGGCCCCAGCCCCTAACCCCCAGCCCCTAACCCCCAGCCCCTAAACCCCAGCCCCTAACCCTCAGCCCCTAACCCTCAGCCCCTAAACCCCAGCCCCTAACCCCCAGCCCCTAACTCCCAACCCTTAACCCCAGCCCCTAACCCTTAGCCCCTAACCCTCAGCCCCTAACCCCCAGCCCCTAACCCCCAGCCCCTAACCCCCAGCCCCTAACCCCCAGCCCTCACTGTCCTGTTTTCTTAGGCACCGAGGGAGCTGAGTAGATCTGGGACTGACAGGGAAGGGCAAAGTAGGGTGTGTGGTTTCCCTGTCCCTGTCCAGACCCCTAATCCCAGTCGCGTGTGTCTCTGCTCTCCTAGCCCCTCTCCCACACGTCACATGGTGACCTCAAGAAAGGCTGCAAGCACCAGGCTGGAGATAATAGCCTCTTGCCCGTCAGCCCTGGGTACCATGTGGCCACAACTGCTGTTGCCCCCTGCCCCCAAGACACTTGCCCTTGTCTCCCTGGAGACCTCTCTTGTCACTTGTCCTGAAGCCCAGTGAGACAGAAGGGGGCGGGGCAGGTCTATGGGGAGATAAGGGAGCGAGGTCAGAGGAGGATGTGGGTTAGCAGGGTGGGCATTCAGGGCCCTCTGTGCTGGCTCTTCACCCCAGAGGACACAGGCAGCTTCCAAAATATATTTATCTTTTTCACGGGAACTCTTGGTGTCGTTCGTTCTTGTTTTGTGGGAATGGGATTTAATTTGCGCTGGTTTCCCCACCCCCCGCCTGTGGTTCTCCCTGAGCCCCAACTTTCTTTCTGTCACCTGCCTGACTACAGATAGCTTCATAGCAGGTGGTGGGTGACTGTGGTCCATGGTGGCCTGGAGGGAGTCAGATCATCAAATCCTGACTTTCCTTCTTCCCTCTGCTTTCTACCTCCATGCCTGTCTGGCCTTGGGACCCACAGCTGCTGCCTGGTCAGGGGCCCAGCGAGCACCTGGCAGACGCTGTCTCCTGAATGCCTTCACGCCCTTCCTGCCAGGAAGACAGGCCAGGTTGGGGCAGCTGGTTTTCCATTCTCTCTGCAACTGGAGTGGGGCTGGAGAAGCTATTAGAAATCCAGTGAAACTGCACGTCTTCCAACTGTGGGAGTTTTGGGTGGGTGTAGTGTGGGACTGGAGGAGGGGCCAGGGCTCTGCCAAGTGGGCACGAGGCCTCCTGGCTGAACACACTGGTTCCTGTTGGCCACTGGTGTGTGTGCTCTAGGGGTACCCTCGCTGCTCTCCCCTGTGTGGGGGCCATCAAGAAGTCGGGGTGGGCTGTGCAGGCCGGTGTCCTGCTGATCTGGGAGGGTGACTTGCAGTCAGAGGCTTGACTAGCTTGGGAAGAGGTGTAGAAAAAGCCACTCTCGTTTTCAAGGTGAATTTTTCCAAACTTTGGGAGCTGTTCTGTGCTCTTCAGGCAGGGCGTGCTTCTGAGCAACAGGAGGTGGTGGTACCTCTGAGCAGCAGGGGGTGGGGCCACAGGGCGGCCAAAGGGAGGGCGTGGCTTTGCTGGAACCACACCAGGGAAATGCACTGGAAGTGGCTCCTTTCTGAGACCTACCGATGCTGGGCTCCCGGGCCTGGCAGGGTCGGAATAAAAGGTCCAGGCAGTGGTCTTCCTAGGAACTGAGGATGGGGGACGCTGTTCTTCTGGTGGTCCCTTGACCTACTGCTTCCTGTTTTCGAGCTCTCTTCTGTGGAGTGGTGTGGATTCGGTTTTGAGCCATGTCTTTCTGGGTGCCTTTGAGCCTCAGGACTCCTTCCCGGGGGCATTTCCTGCCCTGAACCCCTGTTCCAGCCTCCCCTTGGGATAAGCAGACAGTGGGAGAAGCATCTCTGCTCTGGGTTGGGTTGGCCACGGCCTTCTGAAAGTCCCCCTCCTGGGACCCTGGAGCGGAGTCCCTTCACTCCTGAGCTCCTCCTCCTTTCCTTGGCTTCTCTCCCCCAGCAGTGTCTTCCATTTGCCCAGCTTTTACCATCACTCCTACACATTGACTTTTTCTGCCCGACTGAAAGGCAGAGGGTGAGTGTTAAGATTCCACCTGCTGGCTGCCCCTACCCTGGCTGGCATGTTCAGTTCAACTTACTGTAACCAAATGGGCTCTCCCTGCTGTCCATTCTCTCCCCTGTTGGGAACCTGCAGAGGAAGCTTGGCTCCCCTTTGCCCATCAAGCCTGGCGTTCCTTTTAGGTTCTGTTTACTTGTTAACCACAGTTCTTTGTGCTCTGATTTGCCCCTGGCTGTGTGTAACACACACACATGCATGCACACATGCATGCACACACACACTCATGGGCCAACCTGGGCTGTGTTAAGAGGCTCTGGGCTCTGTGACCCTGTGATCCTGTGGGCCTTCAACCCTTTCCCCAGCCAAAGCTAAAGGACCTCCGTAGTCTTTGCTGCTGAGGAAACATCAGGCTGTACAGGCCAGGGACCCCATTGGTCTGGACAGGAAATAAAACACCCTGTCCAAACAGAGGCATCCTGAACGGCTTCCTGGATGGTGGTGTTGATAGCTGGATTCTGAAGGGAGGCCCACCCCTGTTGGGGGACCACTCAGAAGCCTGATTGTCCCTGCAAGCTGCAGAGACATTCCATCCTGTGGTTCCCTCCCAGCCAGGGACCACTCATTCAAGCCCCATGTCCCGAGGATAGCACCTGCTGTGTGCCTTACAGTGAGTTAGGAATGTGGCCAGTGTTTCATCATGGGCAAACTCGGGCAGGAGGATGTCAGCAACCCTTGCTTTTTTTTTTTTTTTTCTTTTTCTTTTTTGAGATGGAGTTTTGCTCTTGTTGCCCAGCCTGGAGTGCAATGGCATGATCTTGGCTCACTGCAACCTCTACTTCCTGGGTTCAAGTGATTCTCCTGCCACAGCCTCCCCAGGATTCCAGGCATGCTCCACCACTCCCAGCTAATTTTGCATTTTCAGTAGAGATGGGGTTTCACCATGTTGCCCAGGCTGGTCTTGAACTCCTGACCTCAGGTGATCTACCAGCCTCGGCCTTCGAAAGTGCTGGGATTACAGGCGTGAGCCACTGCGCCCAGCCTCACTCCATTGCTTTCTATTGGGAAAAGAAAGTAATACAGAAGTCTCACCTCTTCCACGCCCAAAGGTGGGTAGCAGGCTTAGCTGGTAGCAGAATGCTGGACAGTGGCTTCCTTGCTTACTCCCACTGTTTTTGGCAAACTAGGCTTTCAAAGGGGAGCTCCCCTCCTCAAACGTTCCTACTCCACCCCTACTCTCCTTTCCCAAGACCTGAAATCCTGCGGGGGTTCCCAGCAAGTCCGGAGACCGCTCAAGTCTGCAGCAACTCCTCCCTTCGTGCCAGCCCTTGGGAGGGTTAGGCGCTCGTGTTCCTTTAAGGGGCTGGTCCAGCGGGAGCACGGGGGTTTGTCTGCTGCCGCTTCCTTTCTGGCCTTTTAAGCTCCCCAGATCCGACTGCCGTCTTGGACCGGGACAGCTCGCGGCCCCCGAGCGCTCTAGCTGTCGAGAAGCCGCCTGAGGACGGTACCTGGCTCCGGGGTCGCCGGGCTTCTGGGGCTGTGTGCGGGCCGTGTGCGGGCCGGGTTTCTCCCTCCGGCTTTGGGTGCCCTGCGGGTCCTCCCGGGCAGGGTCGGGGAAGGGGCAGGAGGCGTGGGCTGGGCACTGCGGAGGCCAGAGCTGAGATGGGCTGTGATCGCGGGCGAGGGGCGCCCGGGGCACAGGTGGGGTGGGAGCTGCGCGGGGGCGCGGGCGGACTCCCGTGGGACCCTCGTGCCCACCGCGAGGGCGCAGAGCCCGAATGGACCCAGTGGCCTCCGAGACCACAGTCCATCTCCAGTCCCCTTTCCGCCGGGGACCGCTCGGCGCCCTCCCGTGTCGTGTGTCCAAGGTCTTCTGCCTCCAGTGCCGTCCGCGGCGCCCCAGTCTGCTCCTGGGCATCTGTGAATAATCCGGGGGCCGGGAGCCTTGGGAGGAGCTGGGGGCAACCTGCACCTCCGGACCGCAGCGGGCCCGATCTGGCAGCCCTGGGGCAAACGCAACGGATGCCTGTGGGTTCCAGGCCTCGCTCACCAGGGTTCCTGCCCCAGGCACAGCGAGGCCAGAAGGGCAGGGAGGGTGGAGGGCAGAACCCTGGGTGGGGGATGGCGACCCCTAGGGAGGAACAGAGGCTCGTGCGCCGCCAGGATGGAAACAGCGCGGCACTTGGACGCAGTCCTGCCACCAGCCCGCTGGGTGGCCGTAGGCAGCCTGTGACCCTGTCCGGCCGTCGGTGCCCAACGCTGACCCTCGGGAGTACCTGTGCTCCCTGCAGCAGCGGGGTGGCGATTGAGAGGGCCCTGGCTCCTCTCCTGTAGCGCTGCCTGGGCCAGCTGCTGGGAGTGCTGGTAGGAAACGCGTCCCGCTTTCATTTTCCTGGGGGCTGCCGGTTTCAAAGGTGCGCGTCATGCCTTGTCCAAACAGGGACAGGGATGTCAGATTTCTCGCTGGGATCCGCGATTGGGCAGACTTCGCGGGTGATGCTGCCTCCTGCTCGTACCTGGGGGACTTGTACTCCTGGCAGCCCAGTGCTGATGTGCACCTGACGGGGAGGTGGCAGCCACCCTCCCTCCAAACCCAGGCTCAGCTTATTGTTCGTAGGTGGAGGCATCCCTAGGGAAGAGGTGCCTGGGAAAAGCAAAGGGCTGGCTGTCAACTTTCTCTAAGTTCGAGATATTTGACAAAAACAATGTCTCACTGATCTCCACACTCTTGGCCTTGGTTTCCTCAACTGTGAAGAGGAGGCAGTGGTGACCACTTTCTCTCTAGGCAGAGAGGAGAAAGAACCACTGAGACGATGTAAGACTTGACTGTGCCAACTGCTCACAGGTGTAGTTGCAGGCTGTGTTCTCCCCGTGCTTGCTCCTTATTGAGCAGTTTTCTAAGTGCCCTGCAGGTATTCTCTCCCTTAGTCTTCACAAAAGTGTTTTCTGGTTAGTATTGTCGTAACCCCCATTTTTTTTTGTTTTTGTTTTTTGAGAAGGAGTCTT